GGTGCTGTGCCTGCTTCGCGCCCCGCAGCCTCCCGCCCTGCCCGTGGGCACGGACGCCTCGCACTGACCGGGCGGAGCGCCCTCCTCCCCGTAGGGCCTGTGAGGTGTCCGGGCCCTCGTCAGGGGGATGTTGGGAAAGCTGGACTGGAGATCGCTGCTCCACACCTAACCCAATGGCTTCCAGACTGCAAGGGTAGCCGGGTTAACCCTGGGGGTACTGGTTCCCTGCCCCCGTGGGGGATGAGGGTCCTCTGCAGCGTAGGGTGGACATTGTCGTTTCCAGCCTGACTGCGGTGGGAACCGCACCACTGCCGCTGGCGTACACGGAGCAGCCTTGCACGTCAGTTCTTTCTGGGCCTTGGAGCACGGTCAGAAGCTTTCTGTTGCTGGGCGTACGACAGTGGTTACCATAGGGGCCAGCAGATGGCGTGGTGGGTAACGCGCTGGACCCCCATGTGGCCCACCTCCAAGCCAGTGGTTTGAAAATCAGCCAGGCCTGCATGCCCAAAATCCGGAGGGTAGAATGGAGAAGGGACTTCGGTGTGGCCATCCCCTCTGGGGGGCGATTTCTCACTTTCCCTCCTACTGTCACTCTCTCTCTCTGCAAGCGCATACACCATATGACAACAAAACCAAAAAACTTTTAAAAAGTGGTTAGTGTGTATATATATGTATATATATTTATGTATATATATTTATGTATATGCGTGTATGATGTATGTGTGCATATATGTTTTAGGGTACTCTGAATGCCAGTGTTTGCCAATGATGAGTTCACAAGGATCTAGGTAATGCTGAAAATGCGCTTGTTTGTTTTAAAAGACCAATCATCTTTTCCTGCACCAGTGACTATAGACTACATCGAACTTGTATTTATCACTGCTTTAAAAAAAAACGAAGGTGTTGAATTTACCTGAACTTTGGATCTCTAGCAGAGTAGATTGGTCTTTGAGAAAGCTCACAGTGGAGTAGAGATGAGAAGTTATTTTGCCTCCCTGGGGCGCCGTGATGTCGAGAGAAGTCGTTCTAACCCCTCACATTCCAATTGTTTCAGATGGGAAACTCTTGGCTAGTGATGTGACTCATTACGTGATCCCAGATTGGAAAGTTGTGCAAGATTACCTGGAGATCCTGGAGTTTCCGGAGTTGAAGGGAATCATTTTCATGCAGACAGCTTGTCAAGCTGTCCAGCACCAGAGAGGCCGGAGGTAACTGTTTTTTGCATTAGGTCTTTATTTGCAGCACAGACCTTTTCTTCCCCTTAGACATGGTCTCTTGTCAGAGGGAGAAGGGGAAGAGTCATGATTTTGTCAGAAAGGACTTTTCAAACTAATTTGGTATTCTCTTTGCTGGTAAGGAATGCAGTAATGTTATTTTATATTTCTGCTTCAACACCTGGCCAAGAGATCTGACTATAGATCAATAAACTGCAGCGTCCCCAGAATGTGGGTATTTAAGATTCTAGTTGTGAGTCGGCTTTGGGCTTGTGTTTTTATAGTAGCTGGGTTATTGCTTACATCTTGTGGATAACGTATATAATTTAATCTTACTTACAGGTATATTGTTTCAGAAGTATACGTTCTGGCGGAAAAACTTTTTAATTTTATATTTCTTTGCAGTGGATGCAAATTATACTTCTAATGATTTAATTCAATGAAAACAAATAACTTGTTTTATTTTTTGATTACTAGTGTAACTAGCAGCCATCGCAATTGTGTGTGCCCGCACACAAACGAAGGATTTCTTTTTTAAATTTTTTTAAATTTAAATTTATTTATTTACATTCATTCACTATACATCATTACAGCGTACAAAATGAGATTTCCCATCCAGAATACACTGTATATTGGCTCAATCAAGCACATCAACATGTGTTATCAACAAATAATTTTCCATTTCTTATTTCCTGTATATTTTGCTTTTTTTAATTTTGCCATCCTTGATTCCCTATCCCTCACCCTCTGCCGTGTCCCACATTTTAAACAAAGGATTTCTGACTGAACTGGTCTAGTTCTTGCTTTTTTTTACCTAAATGAAACATAATTGTTCACCTTTTTATTTATTAGAGAGGTTTTTGCTATAGGGCACGTGTGCTCGCCAGAGAGACAGAGACAGAAAGTGAAAAATCACCCACTGGGGGGATGTCACACCACAATCCCTTCTTCATTCTCCTCTCGGGATTTTGGGCACACACACACATGTGCCCAGCATGTTTTAAGCTGCCGAGTACCAGACTCAAACCATGATCGACTATGTGGGGGTCCAGCAACATAACCATTACACTGTCTTCTGGTCTGGTTATCCATCTTTTAAACCAGTACTCTTAAAAAACTGTTTTGCTTCATTTAATGTTGGGAAAGGGTTTAGGATTTGAATTTAAGACTTCATGGAAATAGTGTATTAGAATTCTTTATCAAACCTCTTTTTTATTTATTTTTGTGTAGTTTTTGCTCTAGGATGTGTGCTCTTGCCAGAGAAAGAGAGAGAGTGAGAAAGGTGGGGGATGGCCATCCCACAGTCTCCTCTTCAGTCTCTTCTTGGGATTTTGGGCACACACCTACATGTGCCCAGGGAGATTTTCAAGCTGCCAGGTCTGGGACTTGAACCACGCCGTCGGCTAAGTGGGATCTAGCCCTTAACTACACACTACCTGCTGGCCCCTCTATCCAACCTCTTTATGCCCTGAGTTACTTAATAATCAGAAACTATATGTATATTCTTTTTAAAAATGCTGTAGTTTCTTCAGACCTTGGTAGTAAAAGATGAAGGAAGTGTTTTTATTTGTGTATGAAAATGATAAGTTGTTCATGTTCTATGCTCAGTTCAAAAAAATATGCATTAACTACACAGTGTACAGGTTTTTTCAGATGGAATATTTTAGAATGAGCTTGAAGTTGATTTCGTTCAGACACAAAAATATAGATGTTTATCCACATCCAGGTTTAAACGCTGCTCCAGGGGTCGTATTTCAATTTCTGCTACTAAAATCAATTTGTCGTTGTCATTGGGATTGCTAACACATTGCAAGCCTTTTCAACTTCTGCTTTCTAAAATATTTTTAATATTAAGGATTGTTTTAAAAACCAATTCCTGTGACAGTCAAAGGCAAAGAGTTGGAATTTAAATGCCTTTTCTCCTGAACATTTCAAAAGTAGTTGACCTGATGAAAAACTATTGGTTTTCTGCTGCTCTGTCATGTCTCTGAATATACTAAATGTGAAAACAAAAAGATGAGGAGTTCTAAAATAGGCCTTTATGATAATACTCGTTTTTCCATCCGGTAAGCACTTTTTGAGCAGCGAGTTCCAGGCCTTGCCGAGTACAAAAAGCAGTCCTAGTCCTGTCATGGTAAACCTTTTGTCTCGTTGAAGTTAGCTGCGAGAAACAAGAGTGTAATTATGAAGCCCCTTAGCCACATGAAGGAGAATTTAACGTAGGCTCTGCAAAGTACACAGATACGTGGGCTGTGTGGATCAGGCCAGACAGTTCTCTGGGAGAAATAGATTTGAGGCTGGTTGTTAAGGGTGTATTGTGAACATGCGTGATGAAGACCAGGACGAGGCAGGAAAAGGAATTAGTCAAGTTCGGGACTTGGCACTGGCCTTACCTGTTGAGCAACCAACAGGTACATTAAGGTTGATAGAGTGAAGTGTCCAAAAGTTTGCCTAAGCCCTAGAAAACATCACCTATTGAAAGCTAACTTTAAAAGGGATGATAACTGGGACTGCTGGTGGCGTGGTGGTTAAGGCAGCTGGATCCCACATGGTTGACTAAGTGGTTCAAGTCCCAGACCCAGCTGCTTGGAATACATGCCGGAGTATATACGTGCCCAAAATCACCAGAGGAGAATGGAAGAGAAGAAGTTGTGATGTGGCAATCTCTCCTGGGGGTGATTTCTCTCTCTCTCTCTCTCTCTCTCTCTCTCTGTTTCCAGTGAGCACATGCATGCTACAGCATATTTTTCCTTTTTTTGTAAATAATTATTTAATTTATTATTATTATTTTAAAATTTGCTATAGGACCCAAGTGCTCACCAGACAGAGGAAAAGAGAGAGAAAAGAGAGAGAAAAAGTGATAAAGCAACTGCCAGGTCTGAAGCTCAAACCAGTCAGCCATATGTGAGTCCAGCGCCTCAACCACCATGCCACCTGTTGGCCCCACTGTAGCAAAAAAATTTTTTTAACAACTGCATGGGAGTCCAGCCATATAGCCATTATGCCAACTGCTGATCCCATGCCCATGTGTTTCTCAAACTACCTGCTCAGGGACTTGAACCACATATTGGGCCATACCCAGCCATCTTAATCACCATGCCACCACTGGCCCTGATTTTTCTTTTTACTTATCAAAAATTGTATATATTTATGATGCACATAAATGGTCCGAGTTCAGGATTCAAACTGCTGGTGGCCATGTGGGAGTTCAGCACCTTAACCACCATACCCTCTACCTGCCCCCAGATGACTTTTTATATTTAACCAGACTTGGCCTCTCAGAGACTCTCTGGCATTTTGTTTCAGGGTTGGGAAACATTTTGTTTTGTTTTTCGGTTGTTGCTTGGAGATTTTGAAATGCCATTAAATAATTCATTCTATCCAATATGCTTTTAGGGACTGTGTTCAGGAAAGCGTTGCCGGTTGATAGTATCTGGTCTGGCCTGCTGTCTGGTACAGGCATGTCCTGCTGCTTCTTTCTGACTCCCTCTTGAAATAGTTCTATACATGTAACCAGAAAGTCTCAGCATTGTGACTCAATTTCTTCATAGTATGTAACATAAGATTGGATTTATTTATTTTGCTATCGGACATGTGCACTCGCTAGAGAGAGACAGAAAGAGAAAGAGAGAAATCGTCCCCTAGGGGGATGACCATGCTGAAATTCCTTCTCCTCCATTCTCCTCTCGAGTTTGGGGTACGAATACACACGTGTCTGCTATTTTCAAACCCGCCAGGTCCAGGACTCGAGCCACAGTCTCAGTCACATGGGATCCAGCCGCCTTAGCCCCCTTCCCACCTGCTGGCCCCAGATTGGAATTACCTTAAGGAGTTACCTGATCTAACTTCCTGTGCAATACATCGTCAGTAGATGAGCTTTTCCACCCAGTATACATTGTGTATTGGCTCAGTCAAGGATATTACCGTACATGTTATCTCTACAAATTATTTTATTTCTTGTTTCTTATGTATTTTGCTTTATTTTTCCTCCCTTGATTCCCTACCATCGGGCTGGCCATTCTCTTGGTTGTTTCTTGTACTCTTATTTCTGTGTGTCCAACTTTAGTTTTCCTGGGATAGCACTCCCTTCAGCACTTCTTGGAGAGCTGGTCTGCTGTTGGTAAATTCTTTCAGGTTTTTTTTTGGAGAGGTTTTTTGCTATAGGGTGTGTGTGCTCACCAGCCAGACAGAGAGAGACAGAGAGACAGAAAACGAGAAATCACCCCCCGGGGGGATGGCCACGCCCCAATCCCTTCTCCTCCATTCTCCTCTTGGGACGCGAACCGCGGTCGACTACATGGGAGTCCAGCAACATAGCCATTATGCTAACTGCTGGTCCCCAGGTTTTGTTTATCTGAGAATGTCTTAGTCTTTTTTTTCCATATGAAATGTAGTCTTTCTGGGTATAGTATTCTTGGCTGAAATTGTTTTTCACTTAACACTTTGAACATATTTTCCCATTCTTCCCTCGCTTGCATTGTTTCCAATGAGGGGTCTAGTGTTAGCCTGATGGGATATCCTTTGAAAATAACTTGACGTTTCTCTCTTGCCAATTTTAGTATCTTGTCTCTGTCTGTGGTTTTGGTCAATCTGGTATGGTGTGCCTCAGAGAAGACCTTCTTAGGTCAGTTCTATGTGGGGTCCTTTGTATTTCTTGGGTCTGGATATTTGAGTGCCTCTCTAGGTTTGGAAAGTTTCCTTCCAGGATTTCATGGAATAGATTGTCAGTGCCATTATGAGTCTCTGCACCTTCTGGGATATCGATGATCTGGATGTTTGGGCATTTAATGCTAGCTAGTACTGCTCGTATGTTACTCTCATTTTTGGGGGTAGTTTTCTCAGTCTTTTTGGTGACATTTTCTAGGTCAGGGTTCTACTACAGCTGAGATGCGATCTTCTGCACAATCTAATCTGCTTTTGATATTTTCAAGGGAATTCTTGATTTCCTGTATTACAGCCTTCATCTCTAGCAGTTTCGTATGATTCTTTATTAT